TTATTTTTTTTGTTTTTTTATTTATTTATTTGACAGGGACAGTGTACATTAATCAACATTTCTGTAAATGCACCGGAATTAGCCAAAAGGCTATTTTTCATCCGTAGTCCCTGGACAGATGTAAAAAGTCTCCCTAAGACAATAAAACAATAAAACATTACGGTCAGTGCAATAAAATACAAAGTAGGACACAGTCACTACACTATACAGGTTAAATACAAATACAAACAGTGCAAACAATAAAAGAGTCATAATACAGACAGGGGTTAATGACTGCAAGACTGTTGAGTAATGAACCAGTTCTTTAAATGTTTTTTAAACAGTATGTAAGTGGACAGATCTCTTATGTTAGCTGGGATGGAGTTCCAGTCTTTGGCTGCAGTTACAGAAAAGGTGTTCTGACTAAAGGCACTTTTCCTAAATGGAACTATGCAGTCTCCTCGAGCTGCTCCTCTGGTCACCCGCTGTAAAGATGTGGGGTTTCTGATGCTGACAAACTGACTGAGTGGGGGAGATGATTGGTTGTGGATTATTTTATGTATGAGGCAGAGGTTTGAATACTTAATGAGATTTTCCCAGCTTAAAAGTTTGTGCTTTTGAAGGATATTGCAGTGATGATACCTCATTGGTTTTTTGTCCAGAATTTTTATTGTCCGTTTGTAAAGTGACTCTAAGGGCTTTAGTGTTGTTTTATTTGCTTGAGACCAAGTTGTTAAACAGTAGGTTATGTGCGATAGGACCATGGAATACATGAACATTTTTGCTGCTTGCAGAGAGAGTTGAGACCTGATGAACCGGAAGTTGGAGATATTGAATTTGACTTTATTGCAGACTTTGTTAATTTGGGTTTTGAATGTTAGGTTTGAGTCTATTGTAACGTTTAGTCTTTACTTGACTCAAGACAAAACAAACCTTTCTGAATGTTTAGACTTTAGTTACCAAGAATGTCTTTGGTTGACTACAGCCCTTGTCTTTACTATCAGAACCGACCCAGAACCTTTTCATGACGACAAACACTGTATATGTTTTAAATCCCCTCATTTCAAACACTCATTCAGATCCACTCCCGGCTATTCTTACCCGTCCGAGGAAAATACGAACATGTATTATTTGTATTCCCTCATTTCACCCTCTCCCAGTTTTCTTTCCCAAACCTCAGATTACTGCATCATTCATGTGAAGCCAGCTCATCGTCCACAGTTTAGTGAGTCAGATGGAGGCCGGCGCTGGGGCTGCAGATACCTGTCACTGCTGCGGGTTAAACAGGCGACAGAGTGAAGCCCCAGTGATGGAGAGCCATAGAGGACAGCACTTGGCCGCTCCACTTTTGCAGGACGTAAAAGTGGGACAATCTGTTCCTTGGATTGTCTCCAACTCTACTTTCTGGGGACTGTTACACTGAAAATATATCTATACACATGCACTGTCCTACATAGAATGAAGCAGAAGTCGGACTGACAGGAAGTAGCAAGAGTTAAACTGGGAGTAAACCGTAAGGGGGTAAATGTTTTTATGGAATCGATCCAAAACATGCAATTTGCTAAATGTTGACGACTCTCGCTGCAGCAGGGTTTTGATCAGGCACAATTTTCAAAAGCACAAACCTTGATGTTTTTTTGATGAGTGGTTTTAAAAATTTACTAAATGTGGTTTGAAAGTTAGAAGAGATGAAGAGGAAGAGAGGATGAACAGAGGAAGGATCAACAGAAACAGTCCTCGCTGTAGCATCCATCACTGCTCCTCAGGTGTCCATCCATTTCCTCATCATCGTGATTAATCAGTCCCCCGTTCCTCAAATAGGCTTTTCTCCTGACGCTCATGCTGCTATGTGGAGACTGAGGTGGATCTATTCAAGGACGGATACATTTGTTTGTCCATGGACGTCTTTTTACTCACTACAAATGGCTACGTTGACATGCAATAAAACAGGGCTAGTCAACTGTAGAGATTCTGAAGTTTAAGTTATTAAGGACAATTTACCATGCTACTTTCCATCTGTGTTCCTTGACAATACCATCATATAACGTTACTAACATTTATATTAAAATATCGCTCAATAAAAAGTGCAAGTTGCTAAAATACCTTAAATTACAGTTAAATTACGACTGTATTTTGTGGTATTTATTCATTTGATATAGACATAACTGTTACTTTGAACAGACCAGATGACTGCTGTTAGTGTTATAGCAAAACCATGCTAACTTTAAACACTTGTCCTTAGGAGGCTAGGCTTAAAAGTTATGCCCAAAGACAAGTCCGGCTGCTGGACACGTTCTCTAAAAATGTAAAGTGTCTTTTGACAATACCAAGATGGCCACGTCAGTTCCCTCATTAATGGTGTGGATTGAAAAGACCCACTTTATTTCCCCTAAAATAGCCGTATAGTAATTTAATCAAGACATATGGGCTGTGCTGTGTGTGAGGAGCAGGGCCTGTCATGATCAACTGCGAGAGGAGAAGTTGAGTGACATAAAGTAGAGAGAAGAGCCACGGAGAGAGCCCTGACGACAGCAGATACTGGGAGTGTAGCAGTGCAATATTAAAATACACCTCTCCAATGTTTTTACATCCATCTGCTGCTCTGGTCTTACTGTTGATTTCTCCTCAGATCCGCTCCCTCGGCCACACTTTCCTTCGTTCTCAATCTGATTACTCGGCTTTATGCAAACTACAACTCTACGTCTCTCTGGTGCATTCGGCTTTTCGCTTTTTTACATCCCAATTAGTCGGCTCCTGTCTCCCCTCAGCGTGTTTCACCACTCCCTTATCTCGCCCAGTGCAGATTCAGTGTTGCTCAATATTTGATGAGGCTTTGTTCATAAATCACTCGCGAGCCTTGCTTCCATTCAGCGAAGGATCATGCCCGTCTCCCAACGCTTTAGTGTGTCACACATGCAGCCCCTCTGCCACCGCACCGAAGGACAGCACTGTCTTTAACACATCTTTTACATATTGAGCCGTGCGCAGAGGCCTCTAATCGGATGTTAAAAGTTGTACACTATTTTCGAAGATGCCATTTTTCTTGTCTTCCTTCGGCGTGTATTGTTATTCTCTCGCTGAGAATGGACTACCTGCCATTCTCCGAAAAAACATCATGGGAAATGGAACGTGGCTCAAGTCTAGAAATGCCCAAAAAGCTTACTTCCTTTTGTGCAGTGGAACATGACAACACGAAGTGTGCAGAGAGGGCTGCTAACATTCGCACCGAGCAGAAAATCAATCATAGACTTGTAATAACTGTGATTTGATCTGTGCTTCTGCTCCCATGGGTTTGTACTGCATAAAGTGGATCTAGTTTTGTTGACAGAATAACCAACTGGAGGACACAGCAGGGCTAATATTACACCATTAGCCGACTTAGTAAAATGACAATACCCAGTGTGTGTCCGACGTTTGAACATATTGTGTCAGGACTCGAGTGCTATGGATAACATAGGATTTATTATTAGCAGCTCCGAGTGTGAGATCCTTCATATTTCCCTGAGCAGTTGCTATGCTTTCTGGATTCTATCTATGTTCAAAGTATTCATTCATTCATTCATATTTTCAATCAAATTTCATCAAATATTATGTTATTTGTACAGCACGAAGTAATAAATACATAGATAGATAACTTTATTACAGACTCACGCTCCAGATCAACACAGACAATACAAACCTCTAAACTTTCAAAAGGCAGTAATAAATCTTTGTTTCCCTAAATATGATTAAACCCACATTTTAACTTCCATTGCCCATGTTTGACCGTTTGAGTAGATCTCAAAGCCCCCATCAGCTGATCATGAGACACAGAGATTCTGTGCGTCACACCCAGGACTGAGGCGACTGTTGGCTCATGCCCAGAACTGCATTATGGCAAAGCCCTGAAGCCAGACTTCACCACAAAATAACCGGAGCAGAACATATGGAGGCTCTCGTTGTAATCAACCCAACTCTGCCATTGAAATCCATGTAGATCCTGTTGGTGATTCTTTGTATTCAGTGTCATTTCTAAACAGAACTAGAAAAGCATATACAATCACTGAAGTTCAGCTGTTATTTTTCACAAAGTGTCTGAACGGGTGCAATGTGTGAGGCAAGAACCACATTCAGACTCAGTAGTACTTTCTGGCTGGCCATCTGCACTGTCCTACTGACTCTAAAAATAACTTTGTACCCAGTCCAAGTAAGTTCTCCGAGGACTTCCACTTGGCGTTGAAACCCTTTGACAGGTACTGTTGACAAGACTGAAGATTCAGATTACACTCTGAGCCCAGGGTCTGGTGTCAGACAGCTGCCCTATAAAGGAGCACTGATCCTGACCTTGTGTGAAAATGGCCTGTCTTCTCAGTCTCCTCCACAAAAACGTGATGCAAATTCTCAGTGTGTATATTTAGTCTGGGGCGACAGTAGCTCAGTTGGTAGAGCATTGGCCTTAAGCCCAGAAGGTCGTGGGTTCAATTCCCACCTCTGCACCTTCTCCACCGACTCCCACTGATGACTGCTGTCGTTGTGTCCTTGGGCAAGACACTTAACCCCACTTTGCCCAAAGCCCCCACTGAAAGATCAAGGCTATGCTCACACTCAGAGAGCAGCCGTCCTCCTGTGGACTCACCACCTGCAGAGGGTCAGTGAGGGGCTGGTGCTATGAGACTTGGGTGGCATCTCTGACTGCCACCCCCCTGACCCAGAAATGGATTAAAGGGTAGAAAATGGATGGATGGTATATTTAGTCTGTATTCCATCAGCCTGTGATTCCCAGATGCTTTCTCTGTGGTTAAATGTGGAAAAGCTCTCATTCACACATGCACTGTTAGCTTTGCCGCTGGCTACTGTCTTATAATGGAACTTGTCTGTTGTAGATGACCCTAAGGAAGACATGGGGACATTCTTTACGTTGACTCCTTTCTGCCTGTCTCCACAGTGTCTCAGGGCGGCTCCAGTCCTGGGATACCCATGCTTTGTCCTCATGACAACTATGTCACTCAGCCTTCTCTGCAGTGACCCCTGCGCAGCAAGGGATGCTAGGAAATAACAAGCCCTTTTATCCCAGTCAGGATGGCAAAGATGAGGAGGATGAGGAGGAGGAAGAGGAGCTGGCTGCAGAGAAGAGTGAGGAAGGAGTTAGTGACCTGGAGAACGGAGGACTGAGGGACGACGGGGACATGCTGAGAGGACGCTCCTGGGACCTTAAAGGAGGAGAGGTGCCCAAACCGGCCGCCATCGTGGTCGGGAGACAGAGAGCCGAGCGAGCTCAAAGGCCTGGTTACCAAGGCAACCGAGGTTACACATCCAGTCAGTTCAATCATCTGCCAACCAATAAGCATCTCCCAAATGTTTTCAACCAACACAACTCTGCGCTGACGGCTCTGCAGAAGAGGAGGGCCCTGATGGAGCGCAGCATGACCTCTGTGGCCCCCACCGAGGACGCCTACCCCACCATGATGGTGTTCCGGATCGGCATCCCAGACATCAAACAAACAGTAGGAGCATTTTATTTTTATTTTTTTCAATTTAAGCTTTATTTAACCAGAAAAGTCCCATTGAGATCAAGGGGCCGTACACACACGGTTATGTCTATTTTTATCATTTTAAAACATAAACTGTGTAATGATATTGTATGATTTTTATTTTTACTTGGACAGTGTACAATAAACATTAGCCAAGAGGAGAGATGCATTGTGCCAGGTTGTAGCAGCAGTGTTAATTTTCACCTGTATTCTCTGAGCAGGTGATTGTAAAACAGTAAAATAAAAGTAGACGGACGCATGAACATACATTTATCAGTCAGAAATTTCAATAGAATTTACCACAAGTTAAAATAAAACCACCCAGCCCCCATTCTTCACTAGCTCTCCATAGATACATTCATATAATGAGTTCACACTCTCACATGCACACACAGACACACACACACACACACACACACACAGACACTCATCGCACATGGGAACAGATTTGTCGTTCCATGAGCCATGTTTTTGTCAGACGTGTGACTTTTAGTTTAGTGCAGGTGATGATCTCAGCTGGGAGTGAGTTCCACTGAGTCGCTGCAGTGAAGGAGAAGCCGACACAGAAAGAGGTCCTACATTTTGGGACCTTGTGCTCTCCTCTTGCTGTAGATGTCTTTTTTTCGGGGTCACATATTTTCAGAGGAGTGGGGCTTTTATACCTTTTACAATTTCAAAAAGTAAACACACGATATTATAAAAAAATATTTTTTCAAGAATAATTTGGGTAGTGCACGTTTATATATTGACTGAAGAGGCCTCAGAGCAGGTTTTCAGCCCTGGGTCCAGCTCGACACACAGTACAGTACATGTGGCAGAATCATAGCATTTAGAAACATGAAGGAGGCCTCAGTTGTGAGTGATGTGTCTAACGTTAAGTTTTTTTATCTTTGAAACGTCTAAGTAGATACTATATACTTCAGCTCATGTCGAGTTGAGTTCCTGATAAACAAAACTTTTCTTCCTAATTTCTTTTATAACTCTTCATTCAAGGTTTGTCTCCATCTATTTTCACCTTTTAAAGAACAGAGTGTGGTGTCTGCATTAAGCACTCTGCCAATTAAGATGACTCATGTGATGCAAACTCTGATTTTATATGAAAGGTTAAAATAATTCATGTGGCCATTATGACCATTGTGTTCTTAAAGTAGTATAAATCCACATTACAATTGATCAGAAAAGTCCAAATATGTTTTGTACGTGTTGACCCTGTGACTGGGGACATGTCTCTTTAAGGGACTGGTACAAACCTCAACATTCTATAGGCTGATAAAAATACACAGATAATCTATTGTTGAGTGCAGTCCGACTTTGTAAAAACATAATATTCCTAGTTTTCAAAAACAATTGACACTGTTGGCTGAACAGTGTTGGCCAGAGGGAGCGTGGGTCCCTGGTCTCTCTCTTTATCCAGGTGTGAATGAGCCCCCAGTGAAAGCCTCCGCTGTAGTTCTCCCCATTTACAACTCCCTCAACATGCCAACTGTTCTACATGTCAGCTAATCTGCCCTCAATATAACAGTAATTGCTAATTATCTAATAGCTTTTTAATGAGTTTGGGGACAGACGCGAAGATGGAAGGAAATATGTGCAAGAGTGTAGGCTTGTATACACCATGTTCAGAGGCAGCAGAATAATGTTGTGACATAAGGAGGTTACAGAGAGCTGGGCGCTGGTAGAGGAGAGGATGAATAAGCAGAAAGAAAAGATGTATACATCTGCAAAAGCCTGTAGTGCAGAGTTAATGAGTAGAGCGATACATCTAAGACCGTGTGAAGTACCCAGCGCCTCATACACTATGTACTTTATACAGTATTTCTTCCCCGCCTGCTTCTATAAGGACTTGTGCTTTGGCCTTAAAACACGAGAGCGTCCTGATCATGTGGTGCACCTCCCAGGGACCACTAAGACATCACTACAGCAACGGCTGCCTGCCTCCCATAATGAACCGGTTGCTATGCCAATACAGTCGGCTACACAATCAAATAGTGCATCCTACGGGAGGCGGTGCGGGGGGCACGGGGGTACGGGGTACGGCAGTGTGCTGAGCTCTGCAATTTCACACAGGTCTCTAACATGGAACAATAGCTCTGGAGACTTAAACACTTCAGAGCTTCTTTTGCAAATGAAAATATACAGTGTGGAGAAAAGACAGTGACGTAGAATAGTGTCCTCTATAACCAGGAAAAATATAAAGTTGTTATTCATAAAAACCTCCAAGAAAATAAGCAAAGGGAAATATTTATCCCAGTGCACACGTTGTGGTTGTACTTCCCACCGCTCCAGTGTGAGCGAAGCGTGTGATCTCCACTACTCCAGTCATTTCATCTCAATCAAAGTGTCATGTGATTAATTATTTACACGTGGTGCATTTATATTCTGCTCACCATTTGGTCTTCATGTATTCACCACTGTACTTACGGTATTCTGGTGATCTTTACATGTTTGACATGTAGCACTGCTGCACTGAACAAACATCAGCAACAGTTAAGCTAATAACACTTCTCTTCAGTTTCAATGGTTTAAACTTAGCTGTTTTCACAAATCTCTTTCAATGGTTCACAATCTACAAACTTCACCTAATTACAGCATGGATTAGTCCTTCTAGGTCTAGTAAGTATATTTTACTTATAGTATTAGTATAGGTCTAACAAGTATATTTTAAACCCTTTACAGAAGAAGAAGAATCTTTGAAGCCAGTTCCTTTTTTAATGATGATGATTTACAACTGAAATTAAAGTGTCTCGAAGAAACATGTTCACGCCTCAAATTTCTGATTCAATTGTAAATAAACTGGAAACTAATCCAAGTCTAATCCAAATCTAATCCTGGTCTAATCCTGGTCTACAGTCTGCCTACAATTATGATCCATTAGACCAAACACAGAAACATACTCTTCCAAAGCATTCTGTTATATAATTGTATAATAATTAAATAATAATGTTTATATTAAAGCTGGGGTTGATAACTATCTGGGCGACAGTGGCTCAGTTGGTAAAGGATTGGCCTTTGAGTCTGAAGTCCGTGGGTTCAAGTCCACCACGAGATCGTCTCCACTGACTCCCACTGATGTCTGCTGTCGCCTTGTCCTTGGGCAAGACACTTAACCCCACTTTGCCTGAAGCTCCCGCCCATCCTCCTCTGGACTCACACCTACAGAAAGATCAGTGAGGGGCTGGTGCTCTGTGAATTGGGTGGCAGCTGATTGCCCCCGACCCAGAAATGGACAAAGAGGAAGAAAATGTATGGATACTATGTAATGAGATTCACCTGAGTAGTCCTCAACAGAGTTTACTTTTACAAAACTGTTTTCTGACAAGTTAGATACCCCAACTTTAATATATATATTCATTTATATATTTAATATAATTTCATGACAGTAATCATAATCAGCAACATTTCAGGCTTAAAATTTTTGACTTTTCTGTGAGTCTATAATCCACAGGGTTGAGTAAATCTGTCACATTCTGCAGATTCTGAATGAGTCATGTAATAATAATAGTAATAGTAATGTGATAGTAATAGTAATAGTAATGTTATAGTAATAGTCATGTAGTAATGGTTGAACCGTGTGTGTGTCAGAGGTGTGTCCAGTTTGACCAGGACTGCACCGTGTGGAACGCCAAGCAGCAGATCATCTTCTCCCTGACGGAGTCTCTGTGGGACGTCTACAACTACGGCCTGTTCCAGCCGGCGGGGGAGGGGCGGGACGCACGCTTCCTGGAGGAGGAGCGCCCCCTCAGCCACTTCGCCCAGACTTTTGAGAAGGGGGTGCCGTATCTGGAGGTACACATGGATACATATTGTACAGTTTGTGGCGGGTCACATTCAAGGTTGTTCAGTCCTGGAGCCGACCCACTGAGCCTGGTCCTGGTCCAGTTCACCTCTGGTCCAGTCCTTTAGGTTCATTATCCTGGATCTATAGTTATTCCTCATCAGTGTCGTTTATGGAGAGGGAGGAAAAGTATCATTGTTTTGAATGAATGAAGACTCTGCATGTATAGCCCCGTTTCCACCAGCCCTACTGGGCCCCTTCTCTACTCGACTCGACTCGACTCGGCTCGGCTCGGCTCGGCTCGGCTCGACTGTACTCTACTTTACTCTTCTCTGCTCTGCTTTACTTTACTCTACTCTACTCTACTCTACTCTGCTCTGCTCTGCTCTGCTCCGCTCTACTCTACTCTACTCTACTCTACTCTACTCTGCTCTACTCTACTCTACTCTACTCTTTTCTACTCTGCTCTGCTCTACTCTACTCTACTCTTTTCTACTCTGCTCTGCTATGCTCTACTCTTTTCTACTCTACTCTGCTCTACTCTACTCTACTCTTTTCTACTCTGCTCTACTCTTTTCTACTCTGCTCTGCTCTACTCTACTTTGCTCTGCTCTGCTCTACTCTACTCTTTTCTACTCTGCTCTGCTCTACTCTACTCGACTCAGCTCGGCTCGACTGTACTCTACTTTACTCTTCTCTGCTCTGCTTTACTTTACTTTACTTTACTTTACTTTACTCTACTCTACTCTACTCTGCTCTGCTCTGCTCTGCTCCACTCTGCTCTGCTCTGCTCTGCTCTACTCTACTCTACTCTTTTCTACTCTGCTCTACTCTACTCTACTCTTTTCTACTCTGCTCTGCTCTACTCTACTCTACTCTACTCTACTCTTTTCTACTCTGCTCTACTCTTTTCTACTCTGCTCTGCTCTACTCTACTCTGCTCTGCTCTGCTCTACTCTACTCTACTCTACTCTTTTCTACTCTGCTCTGCTCTACTCTACTCTACTCAACTCTACTCTTTTCTACTCTGCTCTGCTCTACTCTACTCTGCTCTGCTCTTCTCTACTCTACTCTACTCTTTTCTACTCTGCTCTGCTCTACTCTACTCTTTTCTACTCTACTCTACTCTGCTCTGCTCTGCTCTACTCTACTCTTTTCTACTCTACTCTACTCTAATCTTTTCTACTCTGCTCTGCTCTACTCTACTCTTTTCTACTCTACTCTACTCTACTCTACTCTACTCTACTCTGCTCTGCTCTGCTCTGCTCTACTCTACTCTTTTCTACTCTACTCTACTCTGCTCTGCTCTTTTCTACTCTGCTCTGCTCTACTCTACTCTGCTCTGCTCTGCTCTACTCTACTCTACTCTACTCTACTCTTTTCTACTCTGCTCTGCTCTACTCTGCTCTGCTCTACTCTACTCTACTCTACTCTACTCTACTCTACTCTACTCTACTCTTTTCTACTCTGCTCTGCTCTGCTCTACTCTACTCTACGCTTTTCTACTCTACTCTACTCTACTCTACTCTACTCTACTCTACTCTGCTCTACTCTGCTCTACTCTGCTCTGCTCTGCTCTACTCTTTTCTACTCTACTCTACTCTAATCTTTTCTACTCTGCTCTGCTCTACTCTACTCTTTTCTACTCTACTCTACTCTGCTCTGCTCTACTCTACTCTTTTCTACTCTACTCTACTCTACTCTTTTCTACTCTGCTCTGCTCTACTCTACTCTTTTCTACTCTACTCTACTCTACTCTTTTCTACTCTGCTCTGCTCTACTCTACTCTTTTCTACTCTACTCTACTCTACTCTACTTTGCTCTACTTTGCTCTACTCTACTCTGCTCTACTCTACTCTGCTCTGCTCTACTGTTCTCTACTCTACTCTACTCTGCTCTACTGTTCTCTACTCTACTCTACTCTGCTCTACTCTACTCTGCTCTACTCTACTCTACTCTACTCTACTCTGCTCTACTCTACTCTACTCTACTCTACTCTACTTTTCTCTACTTTGCTCTACTCTACTCTGCTCTACTCTACTCTGCTCTGCTCTACTGTTCTCTACTCTACTCTACTCTACTCTGCTCTGCTCTACTGTTCTCTACTCTACTCTACTCTGCTCTACTCTACTCTGCTCTGCTCTGCTCTACTCTGCTCTACTTTTCTCTACTTTGCTCTACTCTACTCTGCTCTACTCTACTCTGCTCTGCTCTACTGTTCTCTACTCTACTCTGCTCTACTGTTCTCTACTCTACTCTACTCTGCTCTACTCTACTCTGCTCTGCTCTACTGTTCTCTACTCTGCTCTACTCTTCTCCACTTTACTCTACTCTGCTCTGCTCCACTGTACCCTACTCGACTCTACTCTGCTCTACTCTTCTCTACTTTACTCTGCTCTGCTCTACTGTTTTCTACTCTGCTCTGCTTTACTGTACTCTACTCTACTCTACTCGGCTCTATTCTTCTCTACTCTACTCTACTCTACTATTCTCCGATTGGGAGTGTTTCCACTGGCCCAGTTTAACCAGTGCTAAGTCCCTCTTGGTCTTGGTTCTGTCCAGGACGAGCTGGTACTAAATTGTTCTAACTGACAGTGATTGGTCAGTGGTCAAGAATTGCTGCTGGAAGCCATGGTTACCTAAGAATTTCCACGGATACTGTTTTTTTTTTTGTGTGGGTAGATTGCCAAGATATGATACCAGATACTAAAGAGTAATGGAAACCCAACCAGGTAGAGTAGAGTAAAGTCGGGCTGGTGGAAACAGGGCTAATATATGCAGTGGTACATGTAGCACTGGACCCTGGGACTGATGCAATACTTACTCAGAATACTATGTTTGAGTTACTGTTTTACCTTTTCTATTGGAGGCGTTCTGTGCAGTTACTTTCCAAAAAAATGAAAGAATGCGTCTTGGTATTTTCCGGATATTGAAACTAACCGAAATAAAACGTCACTTTTGTGCTGTATTTGAGTTTGTTTTATCTTCTCTAATAATAACAAATAACAAAACATTTTTATCATGGCGCCTTTCAAGACACCCGAGGACGCCTTACAATATATTAAAAACAACACACACAATATTAATACTAAGTACAGAACAGAATACATTTTTAAAAATACAAAGAATAAGCCAGTTCTTTTACTCTATAATATTATGCAAATGAACTTGAATAATCAGAATACATTACTCTGATTGGACCATGTAACAGAATGTGTTATAAAATACTTATAAAACAGGTTTTCACAGATCAGGTGTTCTCTCCAACACTGACTGTATCTGGAGCTAATATTGAGTTGTTTATGTGAAAGTGCGGAGAGGAGCTGGTGCTGTGGTGGTTGTGTGTCAGCGCCCTCTGCTGAATGCTCAGTGTAAGCTGCTGATGGAGGGTGGGGCAGGAAGAGGACCTCAGTCAGATCCTGGCCAGGGACCAGAATCCAGATAGTTAAAATTCTTGACTTTGCTCCAGTGGAGGATATGGCTCTCAGAGAAGAGGCCTTGTAAAGTAGAGCGGCCATGAAGCCACATCTGTCTCACATCAAGTGTATTTATAACATTGCATCATGTTTCATTTGGCATTTTCTGCAGCAGCTGCCAAAATTCCACAATTTCCTTTAGCCTTTACACTCTTTGTGAAGTCATATTGTCCTTTTTACCAGACAGAAGTACAGCATGAAACTATGGAGTAAGCCTCTTTTCAGTTCCACTCAGTCACATACAGTACCTGCTGCTGTCATTTAGATCTATCTGCAGAACTCGGTATATTCTCAAACATGTAACTGTATTTGAACAGTTTTTAATAAATGTTAAAATGTGCCACCATCTCATGTGTAGGTTAGAAAGGTTCATCGGGTCTTCTTAGTAGAAAGTTATTTGGTTTATACAAAGCAATTGTAAGATAGTGGAGTTGTTACGTTGTTATGTTGAGACAGAAGTGCACTGTTGAAACATGAAGTCAAGGTAATAAGATCGCTATCTTACAGTTTTCTGGTCTCGAAGAACCAAAAAAGTAATGTTTAATCGCATGCACTCGATGATTTGTGCATTGAGCCAAAGCAGATTCCAAGTTTGTGACTTCCTGTTACGTACAATAGTAATAAAAAAATGGATTCTGATTTCCATCTCAAGAGAATCCTCCTCCAGCAGGTGGTTTACATTTCCATCGGTAACTTTGGGAAGAGAAGGCGAATGATAAGGCTTGACCCTTAGTTATGTCAAAAATAATGATTTTCTAATGTTTTATTTTTTACTTTAAACAACATCCCCTTAATGTGAAACAGAAAGAAAATATTATTATTTAAAACATATTTTAATTCAATGGAATACAGGCTTTATTTCTTTTATAGACTTTAAACTCCAATTCTGAATTATGTGTTTTAAAGGCTAAAGCCAAACCCTCGGTTTTTACAGGAGTTTAATCAAAGAATCATTTTATAAAGATTTAAACCTTGCAAATTTATGGCCGAGACAGTGTGGCTTAATAACTGAGAACAAAGTGGTGGAGCTGTTCCAGTGATAATGAGTGGGAGACTAAATCTGTGCAAACACCCAAAGACTTTACTTTTCTGAATAATCATTCCTTAAGCCTGGATGCAGAGACTATATGTGCTGTGGGGAATTGTTTGTGCAAGCCAAGATTACCTGCTTCCAAAAACTCATTTTCAATTTAATTCCAAATTATTGCTGTGCTGTTGCAGTTTTTCAAAATAATAGCTTTGGTTTCTTCCTTTGCAGAAGCGTTAACGCAGATTGGAAGACACATACATCATTGTTTCCCATTTTTGTTTTTCAGTTTCGGTACAAAACCCGAGTGTATAAACAGACCAATCTGGATGAAAAAGCTCTTTCCAAACTCTCCACAAAGGTACTCCTCATTGAACTCTGCAGTCATTGCTAAATTCAAATGTGCTCCATGTACTTTTTTCCATCAGGCAAGTCTGAAGAAATTTCTTGATTACATTCAAACTGGAGCAGTTGAGAAACTTGCTAAAGTCCTTGAAAAAGGTCTTGACCCAAATTTCCATGATCCTGACACTGGAGGTAAGGTTTATTCAGCCTTTATGTAAGTCAACATGATGGGAATAAGTGCAGTCATTACAGTAGAGCTTGGATCAAGATGAAATGACTCACTCCTTGTCTTTGTCGGTCAGAGACGCCGCTGTGCGTGGCGATGCAGGCGGGTCTGTCTGTGGAGGGGGTGAGGGTCCTGCTGCAGGGGGGGGCACACCTGGACTTCAGGAGCAGAGAGGGACTCACCCCAGTGCACAAGGCCGTCAGAGCTCACAATCACTCTGGACTCCTGGTAAGTCCTATAGCATGAACAGCAGGTCTTTCATTACAGCTACTGTCAGACTGTATAACGAACAATGAGGACTAACGAACACTGCCAACCTGACCTCACATGTCGTGGATCAGAATAATGTCAGAATGTGCAATACAGATAGAAACATGTGTCACTTAAAGCAGTGGTTCCCAAAGTGGGGGTCCCGACCCCCCGGGGGGTCGCGGGAACCCCTGGGTGGGTCGCAAGATGATTTCCACACAAAAAAAAAAGATTTTTTTTTTTGAGCAAACATAAAGCCCTTAAATATTTATTTAGCATTTGATTTGTTTCAAAAGGACTACTTGTTAAATTGTGTGGAGACTATAATATATTTTAATAACGTTAGTAATTTTGTCCCAGTCATTGCAGCGTCAATCAAAATCATCACGTAACACAGCTCACATCATGCGCAGCGACAAAGCGTGTCCTGCTGTTGTTTGCTAAAACTAAAGGTGTTTGGAGGATATACAAATAAATAATACCTGCTTTAAAATGAAACGTGGTTAATATCCACAACAGAAAAACCCGGAAGGGGAGAAAAGTCACTTGTATCAGGGGTCAGGCTGATGGTGCGAAGAGAGGGAGAGAGGGCAGAGGAGGGAGAGAGGGCAGAGGAGGGAGAGAGGGCAGCGGAGGGAGGGAGGACAGCGGTAGAACAGCGCGTTAAAGAGGCCCGGCTTTTCGGAGTCAAAGGTAAAGAGGTCCGCACATTAAAAGCGGGTGGCCGGTTTATGCCTTTACTGACAGTAACTTTGGAAAGAGAAGCCGCGGGGATGAACCGCATAAAGTAACAGCAGAAAGCGGCCGCCCGCTTTTAATGTGCGGACCTCTTTACCGCTGACTCCGGAAAGCCGGCCCACTTTACCGCGGTAGGAGAACAGTGAGGGCGAGCCGCAAGAAATGCGCTCCACTTCTGCTGAGGAGGGAGCCCACCAAGCCCATCACTGTGTCACTACATGAGTAAAAATATGCAAGCCTCCTTTTTTGGGCTGGACAGTGCAGCTCGGTAGTGGCGTGAGTCTCTAGAAAGCGTTACTCCGTATCAAGGAAATACATGCTCATTTCATGTGACGAAAGGGATGTTGGGGGGGGTCGCGGGTTAGCAGGGCATTTATGATGGGGGTCGCGGGCTAAAAACTTTGGGAACCCCTGACTTAAAGGAGCAGTATGTAAAAATCTGGCCAAAAGTGGTACTGCAACTTCTCCCACTCCCTGACTCAGGTTGCCAGATATGCAGAAGAATCCAGCTGGGACCATAACAGATGAATTTCTGTCAACAACAAATCTATAACCAACACCTTTTTCACAAAGGCCTCGTTTATTCCTTATTTTTTTAATTAATGATTTGAGAATCATAACAAGATCTTTTTAGCAGACCTTTACCAGTGAAATTGGCTCGACATGGTGAGTTATGGTCGCTCGGATCACAGACTTTCTTTCAGACTTTCTGAAACGGTGGAGGGCGGGACATGGAAATGAAAACAATAACAAGATTTAGGCGCTGTAAAACTAATTTTGAAATAAATTTTTGAATATCTCTGAACTACTGTTATCAGTTAAAGAAGTGTTTGAAAAGACCATGATTTATTAACGCCTTTTGACAGATTAGAGCCCTTTAATGATGACTTGAAATGAAAATCTTACATATTGTTACTTTAACTGAGTCACTTTGTTCCAAACCCTCAGGCTGATAACATTTAAACATACAACTATATATTACTTACACTAGAATAGACAGTCTTATACTTGCTTCTTTATTAGGCGAAAGTGAGAGATTTTTTGTTTGTTTTTTGTTTTAGTTATTGTTCATTTATCTGCTGTGTGCTCCTCTGTAACTGGTGATGCAACACTGACATTTCCCCGGAGTGGGACGTATAAAGGATCTCTTCATCTTCATCTTAATCTTAATGGAACATAAGCATCAGCAGTGAAGCAGACTGAGCCTGTGTGCGTTGGTTCTTGTAGTCTCTGCTGTCTCTGGGCGCCTCTCCGGACTACAAGGACCGCTGTGGCTTGACCCCGCTGTACCACACTGTGCTGACAGGGGGCGACACCTCTTGCTGCGAAACCCTGCTTTACTACAGGGCAAAGCTGGGCACCAGGGATGAGAATGGATGGGACGAATCACACCAGGTAAAAGATCTGAAAAAGCACATGTGTACAACTGCTCTCCTGTCTCCTGTCTCATTTTCATTTCATTTGTCCAGAAATCTGTCTTTGAGCAACGCACCTCCATTCCCAACTCTCTTATCTCTGTTTGGCAATAAGTTTACACGCCCAGCCGTTAGCCATATTTTGTAGATTAAGAGTGATAACACACGCTGAAAATTCCACTCATGGTTAGTGGTTTATGTGAAGCCATTAAATGTCAAATAAACGTGTTTTCTATTAACAAATTATGTGGCGGGTTCAAACCTCATTCATGCAAGGCAGCCCAGGAACATACAAGAACTGTAGGATTTCTGCCGAGAAGAATGGGCAGCTTTACCATCAGAGAGGACACAGAACCTCGTCCACAACGACTCCAAGATTTGCAGACTTTGATCTGTGTCTTTGTAGTGATTGTTGCCACTCCTCATCAGAGGCCAAAACTACAGGATCCTGGGTTCACATTGAGTCCAGTCATGAAGAAGCTCCTCAGATAATAACAGTTTTTACCACTTTTTGGAGAAGCTTTGGAGGATTTTGAAATTATACATAATTGACCTTTTAGAGAAATGGCGCATACTAATAATAAAAACAACACAGACACACACACACACACACACACACAAACACACACATATTTAGCCCATTTCACTCAAGCATTTTGTTTCTCCATAGCAAAGAGATGAAGAGGAGTTTGGAATGGAAGAAATACATAAGGTACCCCCCCTTGCCTCCCTCCCTCCCTCCCCCGCCCCGCCCCCACCCCCTGCTGTCCCATCAGTCTCATATGAAGTGGATCAGACTCTCAGTTTGTGTACTGCGTGTGTGTGTCTCTGTGGTTGCGTCGCCTCCTGAAACAGTGTGGTGATTAAGCCCGCGGTTGTCATGGAGTTTTATTTTGGTGTGTGTGTGTGTGTGTGTGTGTGTCTTTACTTAGTTCATGCCGTGTGATATTTCCACACCCTGCAGCAAAGTATGAAGGAAAGCTCGCAGGTTTGTGTTGATGCTCCGAGGGTTTCACCAGGGTCCAGGGAAGCCCACTCTGACCCTCGCCGACTCACTGCTGCTGTGCCTTTCAGAAATGTACTCAAGATTTAGAGGATTGTTTATCGAGAGATGCTTTCACAGTGACCTGAGAAGTGGCTCGGATAAGATTTATGTTTTATAATTGATGCTTCGTTCTTATTAGTGTGGTCATGTGAAGTCCCAGCGGATAGTGACAAGAATAACTCTTAATATCTCAGTACAAGAGACTGCGTTATCATTTATTATTGTAGATATTGTTTTGTTATGTCTCCAAAATCTGAATCCGTTTGACCCAGTGGGGGCGGGTCCCAGCTCAAAAATGTCCATGAGCACGTGCTCTGACAAACTTGCAATACCACCCCGGGCCGGTGGGGGTGTACCCGGAATGAGAATTACCCAATACTAATGTATAGCATCTTTTTACCTCTCGAAAAAGTCTTTACTGGATGGAAAAGTTGCTCTTGGCCCAAAGCTACGTTCCAGATGCTGTCAATGCTGAGAGGAGTATATTTTTTGGACCAGTCTAGTGTAGCCGCTGTGGACCTCAGAAGGCACACGTCAAATGAATGGGGCTGGTGCTGGCTAACGCATGCACAAAAGCGTTTTTTACATTTTCCTGCGGGAGGTGATGGCACATTAGTTTCAACAACGGAGATAGGCGTGACTATGTCCGTTAATATTTACAGTCTATGTTTGACCAGGAACACATTTCAATTAAATTTTTTTTGTATAGCCTTAAATCACAGCAACAGTCTTCTCATAGGATGATAATAATAATATAAATGCATCGGTTTTATACAGGGCTTTTGTGGACACGTAAAGACACTTCATGCACGGTGGTGATGAACTACTACTGTGGCCACAGCTGCCCTGGGGCACACTGACTTCCAACCAATATGTGCCATCGGCCCCTCCGACCACCACCACCAACCATTCACACACACACACCTTTGCAAAGTTGTCGATTCCTCAACAACAGATCAGAGACTCAAAAAGTTCAAACAAAGGAAATGAAAGGACCTATTTTAGCCGCGCTCAACGACACCTTTGATGTCCATTTATTAGATACTCAGCTGTTCTTTTGATTATTTTGTTTTGTTTTATTTTGTAAAAAAAAAAAAAGCAAACAAATGTACAAGTTCTAACATACAAGAGACAAATGTAACATTCTGTAAATTGTGAATGTAAACTGCTGAATGAGTCAATAAAAAATAAAACATTCAAACAAAGGAATTGCAATAATAACACATAGGAGCCATTGGTCCAAAGGGACGACCACTGTCTACAAATATTAATAATGTCATTATATCACTGTTATTGATCCAAGGAATCAATAACATTGATCATTCTAAAAAGTTAAAAATAGTAAATCAGAAACAGCCCTGCAGGTCACAGTAGAAGAGTTGGAGCAGGCTCTGGGTGGAGCAGGACGGGTCACAGCAGCAGAGGTGGAGTAGCCTCTGGGTGGAGTAGCCTCTGGGTGGAGCAGGACGGGTCACAGCAGCAGAGGTGGAGTAGCCTCTGGGTGGAGCAGGACAGGTCACAGCAGCAGAGGTGGAGTAGCCTCTGGGTGGAGCAGGACAGGTCACAAGGTGGAGTAGCCGCTTGTTTCGGACCATTTTCTCTGCTCTAGTCCAGTATATGCTTCATTAGCATTAGGATTCGGACCATGAATCCTCTTTGCTCCGGTCTGGACCAGTGTAAAACCATGAACGCTGTACTGCACCTACAGTACATCAAATACATACATTTACTAAGTAAATACATCAATCATGTACTTTACATGTAACATTGTACTTCTGTCTTGTGTGTGACCTACATCTAATCGTGTTAATCTGATATTGTGCAAGGCTTGTCAGAATGGCTTTGCCCAGCACTTGGAGCATCTGCTGTTTTATGGGGCAGACACCACTTCTCAAAACGCCTCAGGGAACACGGCTCTCCACATCTCGGCCCTCTACAATAAGGCGAGTATGAGAAACAGCAGTCTAATAAAACAGCAGCAATAGTCATCATTATCACAGATGTTTTGTGTTGTTGACTCTAGGAGAGCTGTGTGCGGGTCCTGCTGTACCGAGGAGCCGACCGGGAGGCCAAGAACATGCACGGCCACACGCCTTTTCAGGTACAATCGTATGTTGCGTATTTATTTTGAAAATATGTGATGTTTACGGTTTACTTTCCAGCTGGCAGTTATGTCCGGACACTTTGAACTCGGGGAACTCATCAAAAATCATAAGGATACAGATGTAGGTACGTTGTTTAGACAAATCCATACTCTGGTTTATATGGTCAGAAGAAAACATTTTATACCAGAGCTATTCAACTTTATACATTTATTTTCCAGACAGCACTAGTACTAATTTGTTGTTTTAACCTTTTAATGTTCCTTGAAGAAAGCCATGTAAATAGCTTTGAGATTCTAAGATGTAGGAGCGCTAATGACACATGTTTTTATCGGATCCCCTTCGCTTTTAATGATAGGCCTCTACCAAACGGTTGAGACGCAGCTTGGTGGTAAAAGTGCCTCAAGGTAGATTTCAGTTCCAAGCTTCAAGTAGATATTGAAAGATCATGGATTTTGTGACATAGTTTCATGTTTTGTGGTTTGAAAGTTAAGTACGCCAGCTTTATTGATATGTTGACAGAAGCTACAACATTTGTGTAAACATTTAGGTCCTCAGCATTGAAGCTTAAGCTAAGAGAAGGTGAGATAATGAAGGGCCTGAGGTTGAATAGGTCTGGTACATACTACGCTGATTGTACTTACCTGGTCGAACTCCGGACTAAATCGTTTTTCTTGTTTTCTTAGTGCTGTTTCTGGAGTCACCAAAGTATGTTCCCAAACGCAGAGAGAGCTCGCACACCCTGTCTCTGCCCGGCCCACAGAACCACCCCCTCCTGCGAGCCAACAGTGAGAACACCATGACACCGGCGGACCCTGCTCCCCCACAGAACAAGCCCAACAACCCCAACCCCGGCCAGGTGCAGTCTGTGGGCAAAGGCCGCTGCGGTGGCGAGAACACATCTTTCATGGTCTCTGTGTGTTGTGTTTGTGGGAGTCTAGGGCCAGCGCAGAGCCTCCGTGAGCATGAGGAGCTCCAGCAGTCCCAGGACCAGACACAGGTCCCCGTCCCGAGGGAGAGGGGGGCAGAGCGACACCGAGGAGAGGCACAGGCAGCCACGCGGCCGGCAGGGGTCAGTCCCACACACACTGATGATCTCATGATAAATATATGAGTCTGAGTGGATAGCACTCTCGCCTCTCAGCAAGAAGGTCCTGGGTTCAAATCCCGGCCGGACCAGGGCCTTTCTGAGTGGAGTTTGCATGTTCTCCCCGTGTCTGCGTAGGTTTCCTCCGGGTACTCCGGTTTCCCCTACCACTAAAAACATGCACAATAGGTCTGGCATGCGCCTCCTGTACTGGCGACCCCGCTCCCATCTCTGTGAGGAGTGAGTGGACAAATGCCCAAAAATAATAACAACAACAATAACAATAACAATTACAAAAATTGTAAACCGCTTTGTGACTCTGGTCTGTGAAATGCGGTATATAAATAAAGATTACTTACTTACTTACTTACTATTAAAGGACACATAAAATACAAAGGAATATTTTTTGAGATTCCAACATTGTTCCTTATTCAAAAACAGACCTGGAGTTGTTTCTATCTCCACTGACACAGTCCCACACTCCCAAACTGCACTTAAGACACACCTATTCAGAATTATAAAACTATTGCATATTTGTTTAACATATTGTCATCAATTTGTGAATGATTTATTGTAAAACTCAGCGACACACGAGCGATGATAAAACGGTTACATTTGCAGAGTTTCATCCCAGCAGCAGTTTCTTGTGTGTTTTGAATGTGGAAAATGATCTCATGAAATGTTTTAACCCAATCAAGCCTCATCTCGCTTCCTTCACGGTGGCTGAGTGGTTAGCACTCTCGCTTCGCAGCAAGAAGGTCCTGGGTGCTCCGGTTTCCCCTTCCACTAAAAACATGCACACTAGGTAAAATCCTCCAGCTCCGGTCCGACCAAGCCGAGTACCAAAATCTGGAGATGGGTTCCCGGGCGCTGTGCTATTATATGTTCCTGACAAAAGCCTTAGTGGCATCAGGATGGGTCAAATGCAGAGGACAAATTTTCCTATAAGGACAAAAAGTGCACTTTACATTTACATTTATAAATCTGCCTTAAAACAAGATTTTCCAATGGGATAAGCAAAAATATTTTGTTTTGAAAATACATAATAAATGTCCCTTTGAATGAATGTCCTGTTGGCAAACCTTGTTTTAATACAGTCAGAATGTGCTCATATTAAGATAAAAAAATAAAAAATAAATAAAATTCAAGCAAATACCACCTCCTTTTTGATCATTTTTTGCAGTGTTCATATTTCTCACCAGTAAATACAGAGCTATTGGTTGATAAATGTTTTGGTACAACACATATTTTCTAACTGTAAATAATCATAATAACGTGTCAGACTTTTCTTGGCTCTCAAAGGCACTCTACATTGCATTATTCAAAAGCAGAACACAAGATTACTCATGTATGAACACAGCCGTCGTTTGCTACCGAGCGAGCACAGTTTTAACCGGGTCAGGAGCTCGTCAGAGTTGATTTCTCCTGAAGTCGTCCTCCACAAGTGCTGCTACTGTACACGCGCTCACGTTGCATTTATAACAGTTTTGTCTCGGTGCAGGGCGCCTTCAGCGGGCAGCGGCGGAGGTCCGGTGAAGCGGATGTACAGCGCCGTGCCGGGACGGGTGTATGTGGCCACCAAACCCCACGTTGCCAACGGTGACAAGGAGCTGTCAATCAGCAAAGGGGACAAAGTGAAAGGTGATCATTGTGAAAGCAGAAATGACTAAAGCATGGGTCAAGTGTGATTTTGATGTTTAACAAATGGCTCTGTTTTATGGCAAGAAGGTTTGTGGATGAGAGTCTGTTTTACCATGAAGACAGTTTTACTATGAAGACAATGATTGACATCTCTTTTGACGGTTTCCTTCAACATGTGGATTAGGGATGCACCGGTACTATTTTTTTCCAAACCGGTACGAGTATGAGTACCTTAATTTGAGTACTTGCCGATACCGATACAAGTACTGCATTGTGTTATCTCTGGGAATTCACAAAACTACTACAACTGAAATTTAAAACGTTTCATTTCTCATTTAGCGATTGTTTTAACAGTCCACAATAAGAGCCACTCTCATATTCCACTCAGATGCAATGTTGTAGAGTTGGTTGTTTCTGTGCTCCGGTGCTAGCAAAGATGCTATACCAGTTTTCAGATTTTTGATCAAGTTGCTGGTGTTTGTTTTGGACCCACCTCATGACAGTTTTACACAAAGTACAGTCGCCTTTACTCTTGTCACTCATTTTTCTCGCTGCTGACTTTGGGAGGTCACGGTTGCCGGCATCGGGTTCTATGGTGTGAGTACGAGTACAAGCCTATGGTATCAACCCAATACCCAATGCCAGTATCGGTATCAGTGCATCCCTATTGTGGATGAAGTGATCTTGGATGGGGACAATCTCCTCTTCCGGGTCCCTCTGCACCTCCCTTGTTTCTCTCCCCTTCATTCCTTACTTGAGTGACATATTTTGATGTAATCAGTTGTGGAGGTGTGTGTTTCTTCTTGTGGCAAACTGCCCAATGAGTGACTTCCATATGTGAAGAAGCTTGAGTGAATCCTATTGTGCTTCAGAAACTGATGCAGGGTCAGAGGAGCGGCCCGCAGAAGTTTTCTTTATTGTGATTCTTGTTTTTATGTAGTACTTTTAAACACTACAAAATACAACTGTTTCCTTGTATCATTGTGAAAATGTCCACAACATGATCCAGATGCGATCCCCAAGTATATTGTGAGCCTTATGTACATCTTTGTAAATGGTGCTTCCTCTGCTGTGCTCTGGTGTTTGTGCTGCAGTGCTGAGTGTGGGAGAAGGCGGCTTCTGGGAAGGCTCCGTGAAAGGTCGCACTGGTTGGTTTCCCTCCGACTGTGTGGAAGAAGTGGCAGCTCTGGGCAAAGACAATCGATCAGGTGAGAGTCCGCCGCAGGAGGCGCCTCCGTCTGGGAGCTTTGTCTGGAACACAAGCTGCACCTAAACACTTTCAATTTAGTTTTAATTCTCACAATCATTTCAATTCCATTTAAATCATTGTAATTCATTTGTATTTAGCCCTTAATCACAGCAGCAGGCGATTTTACAAAGTTGTGGATTCCTCAACAACAGATCAGAAAATCACACAGGCAATGCAGTAATAACAAACACATCGTTAGGGAGTGGGATGTCCATAAATGTAGTGTATCGTTGCTTTTTATTAGATGCACTTTTTTCTTATCTTAATGAGACATAATTATCAAATGGTTCAATAAGACTTAACCCTTTTAACACCAAAGTAGCAGAATTGCTAAATGAGCTACTGAATATATGACACTTTCTATACAGCGACTTGGTTTCATACATTCACTACATTATTCTTTCAAGTGAAAAATAAAATGTATTTCTGTTATGGACTTCAGTCGTCCTCTATCTCTTATGAAGGTTCAGGGCTCCACCTTATGTGTCTTTCACATCACATTTCTGAAACACTGGATCAGCTTCTGTCTCCTATTATGTCATTATTGTAACTTGGTACTTGGTTTTTAATCTAAATATTAAAGTAAAACAGCATTATAAAAGAGATGAGTCTGGCACTTCCTTCTTCAGTGCCTTCATACTGTGTTTCTCTAATGCCTCTGTTCGTGAATCATCGAAGACTGACAGATGAAGTTGGCGAGATGCAGATTTTCTTTCAACTAAAAATCCTGTGCATCGCTGCTGAGTCATGAGCGACACGTCCTCAAAGTAAAACATGTCAATGATAAATGTGTGTGTGTGGAATATTTGGGCCACAATTCAATATTATTGTGATACAATATTGTGTTGCGATTTGATTCCCTGCGATATACTGCGATTCAGTACATTTTCAAAAATGGAGTCTGTCGCTTGTCTTTCAAATGTCATTGTCAGTCGGTACATAAACATTAGATGCACACAGTGCATGACGTGTGCGTCCTGAGGCTGGAGTCTCCTGAACACACTCATGTTAACAGCAGCAGCTGACACTGCACCACAACTTCCCTCACAGATCACTGAGCCATACAGTCCTCCATGTGTTGTATCTGCTCAGAAACACGGAGTAAATACTGCATATTTGATCAGTGCGATATAAAAAGACATCAGCACATGACTGTGTGTTTGCAGAGACTCGCAGCGAGAAAGCCAAGAGGAAGCTTTTCCGAAACGTCACTGTCGGAGCCTACGATGGCACTGATGGGCCCAGGTGAGTGACTACGTCCACAATGAAATACTGACATTCTAATTACAGTACATTGGTGCTTTAAAATGTGATGTAACAAAAGAATGTTTATGATTTTTAAATAAAGATGATAGTTTAAATAAAGCCAGAGGCACCAGTCGACCTGAACAACAACAGTATCTGAAACTATACATAAAAATAACAAAACCCTAAAACATTCATTAACAAGTGTCACTTACATATTAAATATAGATGAAGTGTGATATTGTGTTGATCTAAAGCTCAAAAGTAAATTATACAAACCCCCAGTGATTCACAAATCTATCTTTGTGGAAAGATAACGCACCTTGGTAAAAGTCATAAATAAGTGTAGACAAACACACTAAGCCTGAGCAGCTGTAGTTTCCTTTGACGTCATGAGAATAACATATTCTGAGAGTAGAGACGTTCAATTAGAAGGTTTACTCGGTGTAGATGGGATTGCTGCAGCCTCGGCCAGAACAATTATCACAGTTCCAACCTGAGCCAACGAAAACACAATAAATGGCCAAAGTTGTCACATCATTATTCATGCAGAGAGTAACAACAGTATTGAGTAACACATGGAAACACTCTGTTTTGAAAACTGTGATCAGTTTAAACGTGTGCTTTAGTGAATGTGCCTGAAGGAGGTGCGTGTCCTGAGGTCAGCAGCGGTGAAATCTGATGTGGTCATCGCAGACGCACTCATGAACTGAGGCGGTGTCCACTTCTGATAACATCAGGAAAAACAAGTGCTGACAGGGGACACTAGGATCAACAGTGGATCAGAGATGCACATGTGGATATGTGCTCCCAGTGCATGCTGGGATAGGGAGAGGCCTTTACTACGTGTATGAGGCCACTAAAGGCTGGATTAAAGCACAGCATCCACAGGTCCAATGAACGCTGGAGCCGTCACATGATCGAAGACAGCTGCTGAGTTTATTATTGTAATGGGATCGTGTGACGTCAGCGAAGGAAGGAGTCGACTGTTTGGCAACAAGCTCCAGGGGTGTGTGTGTGTGTGTGTCTGTGTGTTTTTGCGCATGTGTGTGTGTTTGCGTGTGTGTGTGTGCGTGTGTGTGTGTCTGCATGTGTCTGTGTGTGTGTGTGTGTGTGTGTCTGTGTTGCGTGTGTGGGTTAGCGTGTGTGTGTGTGTGTGTGTTTTTGCGCATGTGTGTGTGTGTGTCTGCGTGTGTGTGTGCGTGTGTCTGTGTGTTGTGTGTGTGTGTGTGTCACCTCTGGACCTCTTTACTGCAGGAAATACACAATGCATCAGTTTGATACAAGTGTTACGTTTATTAATGCATTGCTAAGATGCGTTTAGGCTTCATTTCATATACTGTATAATAGGCTTGGCATCGCTGACCAGGCATCAGAAACAAAAGCCAATAAAAGGAGCATGATGATCCTTTTTTTAAACGAGACGACTGAGCTGTGTGAGAAAGTTCTAACTCTCCTAAGAAAGGGCTTTGTAAAGGTAGCTTTGATTATTTGCTGACTATTTTCCCTTGTTGTGAGATACTTCTACTTTCTACTTTAGATTTCAGTTTATTGCTTTAGTTTGTATCGGTACATTTTGCAAAAGAAGGCTTCATGCAGTCTCTGTTCTTTGTTGACATTGTGGGGATGAAGTCTTTTCTTGTCCCTTGTTTCTCTTAGTAACAACATTCTTCATATCTGCAATGAGTCATGACTACAGCACAAACTCCAGTTAGTTCTTTGGGCGAATGTCGATGACTTTCCAACCTCTCCTCAGGCTTCCACAGCTTCACATACGTCATGCATTTGCCTTTCAGAACGCACAATGCTTTAACTCACCCCGGCTTGTTTTGTAAACGAGTGCAGTGACAGCCATGGGTCCTCATACAGTACATGTGTGGAGGGAGCAGTAATTGCAGCCACATGGTGAAGTGGTGCTCCATTACAATGTTTTCCGGACCGTGTTCCCCTCGCCGCGCCGCAGTGCTCGGGAGAATGTCAATGGCTGTTGTAAAGCCGCGTGTTCGCTCAAGGGGCGCTGACAGCTCCGGGAAAAGGGACCTACAGGCAAATTTAGTGCTCCATAAAAACAGTCATTTATAGATTTGCATGTGAAGTTCAGCATGTTCTGTGTGTGTTTTTTCATAACATGGAAAATCTATCTGTGGAACTGATGGAGCGTAAGGTTTCAGATGCAGATTTTGTAGTGTATTATTTTGGAAACATCATGAAATTAGCCGGATCTTAGAAATGGACTTACTGGAGGAACACTGTCCCATCACCCCGCCAGTCCGCTGGTCTGTCTCTTGGTCTGACTGTGGCCAAGACCAAAGAGATTAATGATTATAACACTTGATGCCGACGGGCCATCTTGTATCCATCAGATTTTTCTCAGGACAGTTCTCTGAGAAAAGAGCGATGATGTGAAACTATGAACTGAATGAATGAACAACAGACAAATTTTAGCACAACAATAATAATCTTGGACCTTCCACTTTGTCTTCTTTCCAGTGGGGTTAGAAGGGGTGGGCTTGTTTATTGTCCCCATCTCACCTCCAAGTGTTGGAATAATAACAGTGAATGAGAGGATTGTTATGTGTCTTCACCTTCGGGACCAGTCTGTCATGTGGCTCTGGGCCGAACAGGAGCGCAAAGTCCTCGGCTTTAGTGAGGTCCTTCCTCCAGTGGAGGCTGTGGTGGAGGTTCATGAGAGAGATTGACTGCGGATCAGTGCAGCGGTGTGACTGTATCGGACTGTTGTGGTGAAGAGGGAGCAGCGTCTGCGGTCAGAGCTGCATGTTTCTGTTGTAGGGAAGAGGGAGCTGAGTCAAAATGCAAAGCTCTCGATTTACCGCTCAATCTCCATCCCCACGCTCCCCTATGGTCACGGATACAGCCGCTGACATGGGTTTCCTCCACACGCACTGAGCGCTCCCTTCAGGGTGGAATGAGGAGCTCACCACTCCGGAGAGCTTGGAGTAGAGCTACTGCTCCTCCACATCTGTTTTGTATAAAGACATGTTCAAGGCAGTTGTTCTTGAGGAAAGATCCAAGACATGCTGAAGGGATTATGTCTCAGAGCTGGCCAGGTCTAATGTTAGACCCATTTTGTTACAGGTTCATTTTGACAGTATAGTATTTTGCAATAATATCATTTGTAATAACATACAGTAGATGATCACCATCCTCCGAACACAGTCCAACCCCACACCTCGCTCTTTCCATCTCCTGCTGCCCTTGTGTTGTGAGAACCATTGGGAATCGTTCCTCTTTAGCTTCACTTTGTCTGTCCCTGTCTCTCTCGCTCCTCTGTGCGGCCGAGCTGTAGCAGGATAGAGCGAGCGAGGAGGGGGAGGGGGAGGTGGTGCGGCGCTGGTGTGATGTGCGCGCTGTAGAGAGAGAGAGGAGAAAAGGGGGGGCAGGCGGCAATGGGGGGATGCGGAGAGCGAGATTTCTCTCTCTCCCTCTCTTCTTCGTGGCCATCACTGGGCCCCAGAAACAGGAGCGTGTGGTACATTTACAGGTAGCGGGCTGTTTCCTCATTCATTGGCTGGCTATGGATGTGAGGAGAGGACAATGGAGAGAGGGGAGAGGTAGATGTTGCTTCTGACAGGCCGTGCCTTTTCAATGAGTCTAATAAGCTTCGTGTTGTGTGTCCGTGCGTGTGCGTGGATGCCTGATCGTCTATTCCCTCTCTGCATGTTTTATCAATGTGTCGACCATTGACAAGAGACTGCAGCATGTATATTTCTATTCCGTGTCTGTTCCTCTTCTTGTGTGCATGTGTGTGTGTCTGTGCGTGTCCCTGTGTGTGTTAGCAAGCGCTCATAGTGATGCATTTCAGTCAGACAGTGTGGGTGTATTTCATTGTCTTTGAGTCATGATTTTTTCTCAGCACATCATTTTCATTCACCATTTCCCTGTTAAAAGCCTGTGATTCCAACCAATCCATGTCACATTCATACATTTCATCACAAGCTGTTTTTACCTGCACCGGGAGATAACGTCAATGAGAGGGGGTGTGCGGTGTTGCCGGTGATTGGGTTTGTGTGTCCATTGTGAAAAGAACAGACATTTGGCATAAAAGCTGTATACGTCATAGTGCTGGACTGCTGCGGGAGTGTCATTTCAGAACATTCAGTGAAGTAGACTATACCATATATATCTGCTGGTCGTCCATGGTTACCGGTCCAGTGCATCACTTGTGGCGTCCTCTTGCAGGCACCCAGATGCAGGTGGATGGTTAAAAATGCCTTTCTCTTGTAATTGTGTTGAGTGGCGAGAATGACTCAGGAGTGGAGCCTATCGGAGGCACATAATGACCCACCTCTGGGTAGACCCAAAGGCGACCCACCGGAGCGTCCACCCACTCCACGCCACTTTGATCCTCTGAGAAGAAGGCATGATGTCAGGACAGGGTGAGAGAAAAGAAGAGTGAGGTGTGAGGAGCAGATGGGAGGAAGGCGGCCGTGTGCGTTGGCGAAACAGTTAACATTGATGGAGCACACATAAGGGACGGACCTCAGTCGGGGAAACTAGTGATCGCCTGCTGGGTGCTAAAGTTATGGCTTAGTGTTGAAGTCTGGGACTGAGGGCCGAGGCTGCCGGCTGGACTGTTCCCTCAGGGCTCACACTGCTGCTTTACTGCACTCAAACTTTTACACCACTTTTATTCATGGCTTCATTGATAATACGGTTTTCTTTACAGTATGACATAGCAATAATCCAGTTTTGAAATATATCAATGTGTAAAGCTGGGTTCAAAGTCAAGTTCAAAACCTCAAATAATGGAACTACGGTAAATAATGGTCCATCTACCTCTTAAAACTGTTTTCTCATGTACGGTTGGCCTCAAAGCTTAATAACAGAGGACTACCCTCACTGCCAAAAGTGTTTCATATTGACTCATAGTGATTGCATTTGTTGACAAACAAAATATATTTACATTTTTAGTTCATGAAACTAGAAAAATGTAGTTACCCACATTTAAAAATACGTATAAAGTATACTGTGGAAACCAGAAGTTTATTCTTAAACCTTAGAGTATAAACTTGCATTCATTGTATAAATATATATCATACTGTATATAGTACTATAAGAGAACTTTATTCGTCCCACAGTGGGAAAATGCCAGTGTTGCAGGGCGCAGGACCAACAGTAGCTACAGCACTAAAAACTTCAATGCCCTTGAATGTCCATCCATGTTTTTGTCCAATATGTGTGAATCAGCCCCAGGACAAAAGTTTAGGAACTTGTCCAAAAAAGACTCTGGTGGTAGTCATGTAATGTGCAAATCATGTCTTTTTGTATATATTTAAAACTTGCATTTATATTTTATACTTACACTAAATACTTTTGTGATTACTGCCATCTTGAGGTAACCTGAGGTATTTCAGTGGTTCTGAGGTCTGAGGGGGTTCAATTCTTGGATAATATTGTTGTTTTCAATGTTGCTTCTGTGACTCTGTAGCTTCTGTGTCACCCCTGAGCCTGATACTGACTACAGTTTTATAACAGTCTCCAGGAGTTATTCCAGGTGTAGCCTTTTGCATCTATATTTATTAATCACATTGTAATGCCCAGATTCAATTGTGGCAAAACACAATCCTTCAGGTTGTCGTGGAGCTTTATACGTGCGTTTATAAGATCCTTTATCTCAGTGATGGGATTCACAGCACCACAGTTTAGTGTAGGAGGCTTTTAACTTGCAGCTAAAGAGAGTGTTTATGCATATTATGAAGAAACCCGCCTGAAGTTGTAAAAGAAGAAAGAACAATATTAGCAATTGAAATTACTTCCTATAATGTCCGTTGCTAGGTCCATTGTTTTGGCAGCCGTTCTCCATAACAAACAAGTCCTGTACAATCATTTACTGCTTTTGTAAGAGTTGTAAAGCTAAACGACCGAGTGGCAACTAATGCAGGAATGATCTGCCTCTGAAGAAATCGCTACAATTCCTCTTACATCATCCATCTCTTGTTGAGCCGTGGGTTTCACCGAGAGAACAAGGGGGAATTGATATTGTTGGTAACGCTTGCCCAGAAATGATTCATGAGATGTGGCAGTGTGGAGTCCATTCGACCACCCGTGTGCAGTGTATTACTGAACGCTTGGTCAAAAGTCCCAGACGCAGTAATGTAATAATGGAATAATGGCACCACTACACCACAAGTCTCACCCGCTCTTCCCGGTCTCTAGTACTGTGTCTGTGAATATAGATAGAGGTCATGCGTTTTTATGCCTAGATGTATAAACAAACAGCTTTTTTCCTTCACAATCCAGTGCTTGTTTAATGAAAGAGACATTTCACATTGTTTTGCATGTCCACAAATAACAGGCGCTCACATCATGTCCTCCTCATTCGCTGCAGCAAATGTAAAACGTGAGGCAGTGATTCTAAAATAGAAGCCTTTTCACTTGTTTTTTTCTAAGTGACTACATCATTAAGGAGAAGACAGTGCTGTTGCAGAAGAAAGACAATGAGGGGTTTGGCTTTGTGCTGCGAGGGGCCAAGGGTAAGTTTAGTTTGGGATCAAAATGAGACTGTTCAGCTTCGGAACCTTTTACTCAGTCTGATCCCTCTGTGCAGCCCAGACTCCCATAGAGGAGTTCACCCCCACACCGGCCTTCCCCGCGCTCCAGTACCTCGAGTCTGTCGATGAGGGGGGCGTGGCCTGGAGGGCTGGCCTCAGGATGGGGGATTTCCTCATTGAGGTAAGGACCACGCTTCAAGCTTTGTCTGAAGTTTCCCATGGAACATACTCAGCATTCTGTCCAGTGTTATGTAATGTTCCCAGTGCTTTGACACAGGCCTATATCCACAAGATTAATATTTAAAACTTTTTATTTGATAAGTGGCACTTATTAGAAAAGCGTTTGTTTATGTCACACAGTTAAAGATTCTCTGTTGTCCACAAAGACTGCCCCAGATCCAAACCCCCTGAGAATGACAAGACCAGTGGAAAGCAGAGAGTAATGTAAACATATTTATTTCACTCGTTGTGAGCATTAAGACAAATCTTTATGTGAGAAGTGGATTATTTATTTCTCAGTTCAGTTTGTTCTTGATGAAAAGAGAAAAGTGCTGCTGCGTAGGCTCCGCAGCTTCTTAATATTGCAACAATCACTAAACCGGATCAGTGCCACATCATCCGACTTTCTTTGTCCTTTTGCTGATGTTTTATTGAATATTCACTTATTAAATCTAAATGCTAATTATGTTGCATATTCAAACCTGTCATGGTGTGGATTTTATTTTTGTAATTTTATTTTATTTTGAAATTGGTCTTGTGGTTTGGTTTTAGTTTTGCTTCCTGTCTTATTCCCCAGTCTTGATTGTCTGCCCCGCCCTGATGTGTTTCACCTGTGTCTCTGTGTGTCTATATGTACCCTGTGCTTCTCTCCCCTTGTTGCTAGTCCATTGTATTGTCAATGTCTTGTCCACGTCTGTTCCTGTTTTGTTGCTGCTTGTGCCTTTGGATTTTGAGTTTTAACCTGGACTTTTATTTTGTTTTCATTAAATGTTATTTTTTGGCATTCCTGCATTTTGAGTCCTTCCTTCATTCACCTCCCCCCGTGACAGAATGGACTAGCCACTAATGGACTCAGCGGATTGCCTTTTTTCCCACAAGGTTTTTTATTTCTTTATTTTTTTTGTGCCGATTGCCTTCTTCGCTGCCTACCTCTTACACCTGTTACCTGGAACCACCGCCAGGCAAGAAACTCCGCCTGGGGTGGTTATTCATCTTGCACCACCGCCGGGCATTGATGTCCGTCCGGGGTGGTCCTTTGTTCCCTCTGCCCGTCCTGCTGAGAGGTAGCCAGTGGAGTTGTGCACCGGTTTTCACATCCTCAGTCTGCTGCTCAATGGTGACCTGTCCTTCCCTTGACTCTTGCCGCCGCCAGACATTACCTCCGTCTGGGGTGGTTCTGCCCCCAGCCTGAGTCACCGCCGGGCATATGTCTTCGTCCGGGGTGAGCCAGCTCCTTCACTCTCCAGACCCTCGGGAAGGTCGCCACTGGACTTTAGCTCCTGTCCCTGATCGGTTCCGTACCACTGACCTGTCTCTGGCCCATCCTCCTGACCCCCGCCACCCTCCCTGGCTCGTGTTTTTGTTTTTTGGGGACATCTGGGAGCTGTCCCTTGGAGTGGGGGTACTGTCATGGTGTGGATTTTATTTTTGTAATTTTATTTTATTTTGAAATTGGTCTTGTGGTTTGGTTTTAGTTTTGCTTCCTGTCTTGTTCCCCAGTCTTGATTGTCTGCCCCGCCCTGATGTGTTTCACCTGTGTCTCTGTGTGTCTATATGTACCCTGTGCTTCTCTCCCCTTGTTGCTAGTCCATTGTATTGTCAATGTCTTGTCCACGTCTGTTCCTGTTTTGTTGCTGCTTGTGCCTTTGGATTTTGAGTTTTAACCTGGACTTTTATTTTGTTTTCATTAAATGTTATTTTTTGACATTCCTGCATTTTGAGTCCTTCCTTCATTCACCTCCCCCCGTGACACAAACCAATGAGTCACTTCTGTGGCAGGTTTTATAAATGTTCAAGTTTGTCCAGATTTTCAGTTTTTATATTGTTGAAGTTTGAGACAAAATATGTCTGAATACTATACGATAATGAAGGTGATGTGTTTTGCGGCCTCAGGTGAACGGCCAGAATGTGGTCAAGGTCGGTCACAGGCAGGTGGTCAACATGATCCGGCAGGGGGGCAACAGCCTGATGGTGAAGGTCGTCATGGTGACGCGGAACCCCGAGCTCGAAGACACCACCAGAAAGAAAGGTACTCCCACTTCCACTGAGAGAAGTACATTACAATACTTGCATGTGAAAGCCAGGTCCCGTCAGACCGCTGAAGCTGTGCAGGGCAGCACCTGGTTAGTACTATGATGGGAGACCTCAAGTGCCACAGTGAAGCGGCTGCCAAAATGTTGATGTGTCCTTAGGCAAGACACTTCTCCCACCTCGTGTAGAATGAGTCTGGTGTGTGTGAATGGCTGGGAGTGGTGGGAGGAGCCAATGATACATACTGGTTACTGTCAGTGTGCCCAAGGGCAGCTGTGGCTTCTTTAGTAGTAGTAGTTTATCACCACGGTGTATGAAGTGAAAGAATAATGACATGTGAAGCGTCTTTGAGTGTCCTGAACGGCGCTATAGAAAACTGACGCAATATTATTACTATCCATCCATCCATCCATATTCTTCCGCTTTATCCGTTGCCGGGTTGTGGGGGCAGCAGTCTAAGCAGAGAAGCCCAGACTTCCCTATCCACACACACTTCCTCCAGCTCGTCCGGGGGGACCCCAAGGCGTTCCCAGGCCAGCCGAGAGACATAGTCCCTCCAGCGTGTCCTAGGTCTTCCGCGGGGCCTCCGCCCTTATTTATTAATTATTACTATTAATATTATTATTACTATGATTAAATTAAGACTGTCTGTGACTGCAGCACCACAGCAGAAGAGGCTGACTCCTCCTGCGATCGCCCTGCGCTCCAAGTCCATGACATCAGAGCTGGAGGAGATGGGTGAGACTACACACTGTACTACTGTAGACTTTCTCTTAGTCTTAATTGCGTTAATATTATAATTCTCTTATGTCAATATTATTCTAATGATGATGTAAAACCAATCTTTCTTTCTTTTTCAACCCTTCCAACAACATCCTGCGTAATGCGTACAGTGGAGAAAGGTGTGGAGAGGATGTCTCTGTGTCCACTGGTGTTTCATGTCCATCTCAGTCTCAGTCCCATCAGCACCATCCCATGTGTCACGTGACCTGTGGTGTATGTACTGTCATCATTCCATCTGCTTTCCAGAATGTTCTGTACATAAGCATGCTGCACTTTTAGTCACATGTTTCATTTATGTTTCTTTCTTTTTTCCCTAAATAATGCATGTCACAGCTGCCTCTCCATGGAAAAAGAAAGCGGGTGAATATCAGCTCTTATCATTACTCCATCCTCAGCCCATCAGCTTTCATTGCAATCACATAACTACAAACTCTCTCTGTTTTTACAGAGTATGAACCGTCCCAGGGCGCTGATAAGAAGAGGACGGTCTATCAGATGGCACTGAGTAAGATTCAACCTCCTCAAACTGACTGGTTAGAGATTTAAGACCAAATGATAACTCACTCTCAGGCTGTGTTTATGTTTGCACCAGAGCAGTGCCTCACTAACTACAAACATCAAAAGGAAATTAGATTATCTCCAGATTTCACCGAGGTTGACCTGGCAAGAGTCATAACAAGTATATCTGAAATATAACATATATTTATGAACAAGAACTGAAAATCAGAAACATGAAATCTGGAACAGATTTGGGATGAGGAAAAGATCAGCAGCATGTTCTGCTCTTATTGCATCGTTCATGATGTCATGTGTTCATTATTTGTGTAAGCCCTCAGTCGTACAGGGATTAGTCAAAGCAAAGGAAGGTTTCTCACCCATCATCTGTACTTCTTAGCAAGTTTTCCCGACGTTTCGTCCTCAACCTGGGGACTTCTTCAGGGAATGAATTCTCGGACCGCGCGTTGGAGATTTATAACCTATGGGTGTGGTCAGCCACACCCTAATCCTGATACTAACTCGTAAACAATCTACGGTCTGCTTGATGTAGAAGGGAGCAGGTCTAACGACCCTGCTGAGGCTAACGACCCTAACTACTTAGCATGTCACAGACCTATTGTCTGCTGGGATGCTCAAGTGGAGTGCAGGTTTCACCCCTCCTAACTCATTAGCATGTCACTGACCTCATTAGCATGTCACTGACCTTGTCCCAAGTTAGGGCGTTGTTTTTAGGATGTCGTCATAGATGCGAGGCAAAACAAATCTTAACCCTCCTCCTCTGTTAAGAGAAGGTTTCTGTTTCCTCACAAAAATGGCTTCTTTCACTCCTCTCTCAAACCAATTCTTCTCCCGAGCCAGAATTTTAACCTCTGTGTCATCCACCGTGTGGTTGGAGGCCTTGAGGTGGAGATGAACAGCCGACTGTGGCCCACTAGAGTTTTCTCTACGATGTTGGTAAAGTCGTTTCTGTAGAGTCTGTTTGGTTTCTCCAATATAGTGGTCAGTGCACTCCTCTTCACTACATTTAATTGAATACACCACATTGCTCTGTTTATTAGTGCATCCCAAAGACAAAACACCCAGACACAAACAGAGCAATGTGGTGTATTCAATTAAATGTAGTGAAGAGGAGTGCACTGACCACTATATTGGAGAAACCAAACAGACTCTACAGAAACGACTTTACCAACATCGTAGAGAAAACTCTAGTGGGCCACAGTCGGCTGTTCATCTCCACCTCAAGGCCTCCAACCACACGGTGGATGACACAGAGGTTAAAATTCTGGCTCGGGAGAAGAATTGGTTTGAGAGAGGAGTGAAAGAAGCCATTTTTGTGAGGAAACAGAAACCTTCTCTTAACAGAGGAGGAGGGTTAAGATTTGTTTTGCCTCGCATCTATGACGACATCCTAAAAACAACGCCCTAACTTGGGACAAGGTCAGTGACATGCTAATGAGGTCAGTGACATGCTAATGAGTTAGGAGGGGTGAAACCTGCACTCCACTTGAGCATCCCAGCAGACAATAGGTCTGTGACATGCTAAGTAGTTAGGGTCGTTAGCCTCAGCAGGGTCGTTAGACCTGCTCCCTTCTACATCAAGCAGACCGTAGATTGTTTACGAGTTAGTATCAGGATTAGGGTGTGGCTGACCACACCCATAGGTTATAAATCTCCAACGCGCGGTCCGAGAATTCATTCCCTGAAGAAGTCCCCAGGTTGAGGACGAAACGTCGGGAAAACTTGCTAAGAAGTACAGATGATGGGTGAGAAACCTTCCTTTGCGATGTGTTCATTATGTGTCAAATTGTGGCGAAACTGTTACAAATCTCACTTTGGCCTTTAGTTACCTGCTAAAAGCCTGTTAGAATTGAATCTAATAGACATCATTGTTCATATAATTAAAAGATTTTTTCAGAACGTCATTAACTTTAACACTGCTTTAAAAAAACTGATTTTTATTATGCCTTACTCTATTCTTCACCTCTTTTCTGACCGATGCACCGAGAGCCAAAGCTATTTCCTAGTCTGTGACTTCCTGTTACTTACATGGCAATAAAAACTATTCTGATTTTGATTCTGATAATGTTCAGAGATCTGGAAACTCTGCTCCTAAAATACAAAACCTGTTCCTACTTTATAATCCTGTGGATCTGAGATCTAAGCAGAGAAGGGAAGGGTAGTGTTGTGATGGGAAACCTCTGGGAACAGGGGGCGGCAGTGGTTGTGTCCTTGGGCAAGACACTTCTATTGTAGAAGTTCATCACCACTTTGTGTGGAGTCAATGAATAATACTGTATCTAATTTCTTGGAACAGATGAATGAAACGCGTGTGTGTGTGTGTGTTGTACCTATGGATCTATAATAAGAACTGGATAGGGTATTACTAGCTTAAAGCTGTCCCACCCATGGGCACAGGGGGCGCCCGTGGTACTGCAGACTTAATTCACGAGGGCTACCCAGAAAAAAGTCCCATAGAACTCAATGTAAACTAAAACAGCGCGACCTCAACTGACAGAGAACCTACAGCTTTCATAAAGATCAGATTTTGTGGGGATTTTAGTGTCCCTTGTCACCCTGTACTTTTTTTCTTCTTAAATCCTTCGGTTTTCTTTAAATCCACACTTTACTGCCACAAACTCTGCTCCTTGCCTACTCGCTCTGGCTCCGCTCTTCCGCTGCTCTGAGGATCAGCTCTGATTGGTCAGAGCGCGGCCGAGCCCCTCTGTGCATGTGCATGAAAGCCACACACGCACGTTTGGCGCGACGCATTATGGGAGATATCTCCCATCAATGGTGTAGGTTTGGTTCCAATCTTGGTGGGGACATTCACTACGACCTGAGTCTACACCCATTGACACGGGGTCCAGAGTTTCTCCCTCAGAATTTGTTGTGTAATCACACACTATATTTGCAATAGTGTGTTGCCTTCTATACTAAACTCAGCTGTAGACTGCATGAGAAGCAGTTAAGGATTTTTTCTAATAGTTAAAACAAAATCAATTGGATCAGAGCTTCTGAGTTTTGTGTTGCGTTCATTCTAACTTTGTCCACAAGATGGCTTAAATGTTTATAGTAAATAAGATAGTAAGTATATCCTGTATTCAGGATCAGGCTGATATGGTTAACAACCTATCTCAAATATGCTGTCCCTGGCACTTTCTTGAGAGTGACTCTCATTGGCTGCCTCCTAAATAGCAAATACACTGTTATGAAACTTTAAAAAATCCCATATTTTATCTTCATAATTCCAGCCTCACCTGAAGCCCAGCTTCGATATCTGCCTGCACTACATCTTCCCTGAATACCTGAGTTCCCTATAATAAATAAAACACATGTAGTACATTAAACAAATCAGATCTAATCATATACAAAATAAAACCACCAACAAAACCAAATAAATACTTTCAACCTCACCTGAAGCCCTGAAGGTCCAGCCACTTCCTCATCCTCTACCAGCACTGCACATTCCCTGTTTGTCTGACTTTCCTTTATGGTATTAATAAAAACACACATTCTACATTGAATAAAATGAAACCTAGGCATGGTACACCAGTCGCTAAATATCTCATGAAACTAGAATTGGTTGATGGGTCTAAGATTTTAACTGCTTAATCCTAACCTCACCTGGAGTCCTGTCTTGTCCTTGTCTTTATCTCCTTCTTGAATTTCCATTATATCTCTCAGAATGTTTGCATCATTATAGTAGTAAAATATGTTGTAATTGGCATAGGTAATTTCCAACCAAATGATGTTCTTTAACTTTAGTATGATTCTATACTGACTTAAACCTAATCCAAATCTATAGCCCTCACCTGAGGCTCTAACAGTTCTAACTGCTCTCGATACTTGAAATAAATCATGCTCTGATCTTTCAATTTCCTATAATAAATAAAAACAGTGGAGAAAATATTGAATTAGAATCTACAGTGAGTAGCTCACTACATTGTTTGACATATACGATCAATCTCTAAAAACAATTCATAGTCCCATGCATACCTACAAAATTCCAACCTCACCTGATGCACTGAAGGGCCTGTTGCTTCTACCTCAACATTCCCTATATTGTTCTCTCTTGTTGGTTGAGTTTCCTATGTATGTTAACAGAAGATTAATCATCACAATTCATAATTTTCTATTACTTGTGCTTTCTCTTACTTACTTTCCAACTGTTAAAAAAGCTCCTGATATATTTTATCTTTTTTTGTGGAGGTGGCATTTTTTCTAAATTATATAAGAAGGTATAGACAATCAAAAACAGAGATTCATATACATGAACTGCAGAATCATTTATATAACTTGGCCAATGTCAAAAGTTACATAGTATTTCTCAATACAATGAGTTAACAAGAGTTTGGCAATAAGTAACAGTGTGGATTTTTCTATATGTTCTTTTTTTTATTCCACTCTCAACCCAAAAAGGCAAGTAATGACTCACAAGGCTCTCAAGTATGCAAAATAAAAACTTAAAGAAGCTATACCCGATTTTTTTTCTAAGTAGTTCATAAAAATGCTTTTTACTACATACAAGTTGTATCATAATACATAATTTAATTGAAAACTTGAGGTCATTGATTCCACTATGTATGAAATTCAAGCAGTGAAAAGTGCTGAGTAGAGTCTGAGCGGGCCGCTCGTTCTCCTCCACTCACAGAACGAGCAGCGAACAGCCTGTGTCCTCTAGTGTCTACAGCGCTGCTTAAAGCTCACCGCACACCGAAACGCAGCGCCTCGCGGCGCCTCGTCATTTGAATTTCATACATAGTGGAATCAATGACCTCAAGTTTTCAATTAAATTATGTATTATGATACAACTTGTATGTAGTAAAAAGCATTTTTATGAACTACTTAGAAAAAAAATCGGGTATAGCTTCTTTAAGTTTTTATTTTGCATACTTGAGAGCCTTGTGAGTCATTACTTGCCTTTTTGGGTTGAGAGTGGAATAAAAAAAAGAACATATAGAAAAATCCACACTGTTACTTATTGCCAAACTCTTGTTAACTCATTGT